TGAACAAACTCCACCTAAATACAGAGCTAACTCACTTGAGTGAAAACAGCTGTCCACGCCTTTCTAATTAGCACAGCAAAGCCTATAGTGTGCAGTTGTCTCGAAATGTAAACTAAATGTGGTACAGTTTGCTACTTAAGCACAAATGTTCAGTTAGCAACAAGTCTTTTTGTAAATTCTAATTACAGCTAATGGCAAAGAACATGCACAATCAGCATAAACTTTTAAATAAAATAAGCTGTAAACGTATTAATCCTCCTAACTATCAGATATTTATTCTAAATTAGGGAAACCGAAAACTGGTATTAAGCAAAACACTTACATGCTCTTGTCGTGTCCGCTGGCAAATCGCTTTATTTGGTATTTGTTGGTATTTGGGACGTGTCCTAGAGAAAGCAAAGACTTAAGGACACGAGGTTCTGAGATTACAGGTTACACTTTCTTCAGATCTAGCATACATGTTGTTGGATTTGATGTTTTAAATGTCTAAATGTTTTCATGTCTTGCTTTGTGCCAATAAACTGGTCTTAACTTGTTTTTGTTTCTTTTCACCTTCGACCTGATGGCGCTGAAAGAGAAGAGTCGAGAACTGAATGAAACGGAAGAAAAAAATCAGACTGAGAAATGTCATGATATCATGGCTGGGGAAAAATCTTTTAGTTACTCTCAGACTCGTAAAAGAGAAACTACACAGCCTAAAGTCCAGATGAGAGTTCACACTGAAGAGAGACCTTCCACCTGTCAACACTGTGGAAAGAGTTTCAGTAAAAAACGAAGCCTTACAATCCACTTACGAATCCACAAACACAAACCTTATACCTGCAAACAGTGTAGGAAGAGTTTCAGACTAAAAGAGAGTCTTAAGACTCACTTGAGAATTCACTTTGGTGAAAAGCTGTTCATATGCTTTCAGTGTGGAAAGAGTTTCAGTAAAAAAGAGAGTCTGAATGGCCACATGAGTATCCACACTGGAGGAGGCCCTTTCACCTGCAAACAGTGTGGGAAGAGTTTCAGACTAAAAGGAAGTCTTAATACTCACATGAGAGTTCACGTTGGTGAAAAGCTGTTCATATGCTTTCAGTGTGGAAAGCGTTTCAGTAAAAAAGAGAGTCTGAATGGCCACATGAGAATTCACACTGGAGAAGGCCCTTTCACCTGCAAACTGTGTGGAAAACGTTTCAGTCAAAAGCAAAACTTTGATGGCCACATGAGAATGCACTCTGGAGAGAAGCCGTTCATATGCCCTCACTGTGGAAAGAGTTTTACACTGAAAAAGAAACTTACAACCCACTTGAGAATTCACACCAGAGACAATCCTCACACCTGCAAAGTGTGTTGGAAGAGTTGCACATCAAATGCTTGTCTGATGTCTCACATGATCGTTCACACTGGAGAGAAGCCTCACACCTGCAAACTGTGTGGGAAGGGATTCACAGAAAATAGCCATCTGATGATTCACATGAGAGTTCACACCGGAGAGAAGCCTTACACCTGCGAACTGTGTGGAAAGAGTTTCAAACGGAAAATAAGCCTTAAGCATCACATGAGTATTCACTCAAGAGAGAAATGTTTTAGATGTCATGTGTGTGAAACAAGTTTTGCTGACAGGAATCACCTTAAGAATCATGTACAAAATCACATTGGGGAGAGGCCTTGCATGTGCCATCACTGTGGAAAAAGTTTCACAAACAAAGCATATCTTCAGTCTCACATAAGATGTCACACAGGAGAGAAGCCTTTCACCTGCCCTCAGTGTGGAAAGAGCTTCACGGTTAAAGGAAACCTTAAGCTGCACATGAGAGTTCACACTGGAGAGAGGCCTTACACCTGCCCTCAGTGTGAAAAGGGTTTTAAAATGAAAGGGCACCTTAATGTTCACATGCGACTTCACACTGGAGAGAAGCCTTACAAGTGTCCTCAGTGTGACATCAGTTTCACATATCACATAAGCCTGAAACAGCATTTGCAAACTCATTCTGGAAAGAATTCCTCGTTTCCCATGTGACAAAAGGTTTAGAAATAATGCATTCACTCTGGAGAAAGACAGTTCAATTGTGATTGGTGTAATAAAAACAGCAGACTTACAAATATATGAAAAGTCATTTAAATGTGACCCTGTTTGTGTTCTTTGTAAAATAAAATAAAAAGTACCCTTACAAAAAGTTTGTTCATGACCGTTATTAATATACTTTTTTTAGGCTAAAAATAAGAATAGAAAGTAATCGCCTCCCTTTAAAATAATTACATTGTTTTGCTAAAATGAAGACGGACACAGTTTTTGTTTTATCCAGCTGTATTTACAGTAGTATAAATAGCTACAGTTTAGTTTAAACAAATCTATCAAAGTAAGTGTAAATATGTTGCAAGTTAAAAAAAAAACAAAGGTACAAAAGATTTATTTTTGGTAAGTACAGAAATGGGGGGTGTGAGTGATAATTCAACATTGTTGTTAATGCTGCTTGATTTTGTTTCTGTTCTCCCTTAATAGATAGATAAAGTAGGATGTAAATTGGAGTAGTATTTTTGTATTATTCAAAATGGTATGTCTAATTTATCTTGTCTGATTGTGATTTGGTATTGGTAAATACTGAGGGTAGGATCTGATAAGCCTAGGGCTTCTACCTATCCCTTTTCGAACAGGTTCAGTATGATGTTAAAATTGTTTCGTTGATTTTACAGCGTTTATTTGTTATTCATTTGTATATTTTATGTGTTTTCCTTATTTTTTTTAATAGTTCGAAATAAATTTCATTCATTCATACAAGCGGCGATCATCGGGGTCCAAGCACAACCCATTGGGCAATTGCTGTTGAAAAGACAACAAAAAACAGGTCAAATATGCAAATCCAACTGATGTCAAAAACCTGAAACGACATTGATTTGATGTAAATTTAACGTCAAACAAATTGGCCTACTTAAACATTAAACCAATTTCATTGGAGGATTACCTTCCTAATTTCACCTAGTTACCACTGGAAGAATTTGCCGTTCAAAGTGAATTTAAAATGAAGTTACAGCATCAGTGACTAATATTTGACGTCAAAGTAATATCAAGCTCGTGTAGAGGATACAGTTATGTTCCAATGGCCATGTCTATTTTCAAACATAATACTAGTAGGCCTATTTAAATGTCTTTCTATGGAAGTATTATTTTATTTACCATATCACAATAGACAAATAATATTGTCTCTTCATTTTAACTAGACTATAATATATCCAATCATGTCTGACAACTTGACAAATGTTTTCTGAAATTATGATGTATAAATATGAAGGTATTTTGGAGATCACCGATTTCTTTGAAAACTGATCTGTTGAACCATTTACACCGATTTGAAACTACACGATCTAAAATAATTTGTTGTCTTGTGCCTTCCTCAGGTGGACAACATTAGTGTAACGTCCTTCATCTCTTATTTCTATTGATATAAATTGAAATTTTATGAATTGTTGTAAGCAGCAATCGGCATCAGAAATTCATGAAGGTTGGCATGAGTACACTTGAAAGCAGCAATATGTAGGCTACTGCAATAAAAAGAGGCAACCTTTTATTTTAACTGAACAGCAATTAATAAATTTATGTCATGCAACTTGACAAATGTTTGTAATATTATTTGGATATATTAAAATGAAGGTAACATTTAATGATATTTGTTTTGTTTTTTTGCATTTTGCTACAAGTCATTCTAAACCATTTACACTGATTTCAGTTTATGTGGGTTGATGTGTCAGTCACATTGATATTAACAGTTGATCCCTGAGAAATTGGTGAAACACATAAAAAATCTGCGTACACAATGCCAGTTATCTGATCCCTTCTGAGTATTATATATGTGAACTAGAGACATCAGTTGGTACATTTACATGTAAAGGACGACAAAAATAAGTATATGAAACACACAGCTTTCACCTCTGTAAACATTTACCCCTGTAAGAATGTATTTGTTTTTCAGAGTGATGGAACCTGATAGACAAAAAGATTTCTCATCTTGTGTTTCCCACTAGTGGACAACATTAGTACAACATGTTGTAGACCATCGGCCATTTTGAGTTTACCACGTGACTAATTCACACAAAATTTTGCATGTATCTATAGACATTAATGACAAAGTTATCAAAAGAATTTTAGTCAAACCATTTAGAAAATATACGCCAATATTTTGTAGCCACGTTAAAGTACTTATTATAGTGCCACCCAGTGTTGGGTAAGTTACTTTCAGTGTTAAAAGTAAGTAATTAGCCTTTTAGTTTTAAAACAACAATAATACTTAAACATTTTAATAAAAAATGTATCCTTTGGTTAACAAATAGAATTACTCTGCAAAATATCTGAATAGCAAAAAAGCTTAAAGGGGTCATCGGATGCCCATTTTCCACAAGTTGATATGATTCTTTAGGGTCTTAATGAAAAGTCTATAACATACTTTGGTTAAAATTTCTCAAAGGTAGTGTAAAAAATACCCTTTTACCTTGTTAAAATCAGCTCTTTTCACAGCAGTCCGTTTTGTTGCAACATGGTTGGACAGAGGAATATGAGGCATGTTTAAGTGTGGACACTGCAATTACTGTGACAGTGTAATTCAAACCAAATCATTTACAGATGTTTGCACAAAGAAAATGTATTTAATCAGATCCTTCATTAATTGTAAAAGTACGTATGTAATTAATAGGCTTCAATGTCCTTGTAACTGTTTTTCTATGTGGGCCAGACTAAGCGTAGACTGCAAGATCACAAAAATGCAATTCGTACAAAGATTACCCCATGGCAGTACATTATGCATCTGTACATGACTCAAATCCGTCTACTTTAAGAATCACTGGTTTGGAAACTGTAACTGGATCTATTAGAAAGGGCGATAGATTACAAAGACTCTTACAAAGGGAAGCCTTTTGGATTTTTCAGCTAAAAGCCTCTATTTCTCCTGGTTTGAATGAGGAATTAGATTTAACTCCATATTTGTGAAATGATTATCATTATGATTATTGTTGTTGGTATTATAATAATTATTATTATTGTTATCAAGATATACAGTATCTCACAGAAGTGAGTACACCCCTCACATTTTTGTAAATATTTTATTACACCTTTTCATGTGACAACACTGAAGAAATGACACTTTGCTACAATGTAAAGTAGTGAATATATATATATATATATATATATATTATATTTTGTACTTGACACACTCTGAGGAAGACTGCATGGCTGAAATGCATCAGTGTGCAGTGTTTTAGTCACTTTTTAATGTTTCTAGAGTGAGCCATGTTTGAATAAACATGGCTTTTTATCATTTTGGAACTGGAAGAAGTGCCATGGATCCGTATTTTCTATAGATGTAATTTTTGAACCCAACCAAAGAGCACCTTCTGGGACTATTAAACGGAGGTCCTTTCAGCAAGTAGCGCTCCAAGATGTTTTCCTTGATTATTTAGTTCTGGTCAATTATCATGGAGGTGTATTCTGAAAGAGATTCAAGTGTTACGAAGCTCCTGCAAGGCATATGGATATATATTTATATGTATAATATTGTAATATCTTCGAAAACACATTTAAGATGTTTATCTTTGTTCAAATATGTAGAAGTTTACACATTGTGTACTGTTGTTTTTGCAGTTTTACACCGCTTCCATTAAATATGCCTAAAGACAACTCTGTTTCGGGTACTTTTTGGAGGAGTGTTTAGCTTACTGCATAGCTATGTACCTGCACACATAGCGAGGGCAAAAAATGAATTATTTTACAAATGTTTAGCTAACCGCTTCAGGCTCTCCTTTCCATAGCAGGTTGAGGTTTTCCAGTGGGTGGTCTTGAACCTGCCTTGCAGAAGTCTGTCCTTGCGCCTGTCCCTGTTTGTTACTGTCCGGCAGCCTATCCCACAGCCGGACAATGTCAGCGGCTACTTTCTCTGAGCTCGACGACCTTTTTTTGTGGAGTCCATCTTCAGGATAGACCCAAAGACAGAGGTGACCCTGGCTTTGAGCTCGTCATAGCGAGACCGGACCTCCTCTGCGTGGACATAGAGGAGCCACTTGTGGTTGGAGGAGGTGTGACGGGCCGTGTGGAGAAGGCCCTGCTGACCCTGACGGGCATGTATAGCATGTATTTCAATTAATTATCGATCGAGAGAGAGAGAGAGAGAGAGATGACAGTTGTGTGTAGCTGAATCTGCACATCTCTCTGTACAAACAATTACTTCAAAAACAGTGATTTTACCACCTCGTTGCTGGGGAATATAATGTAGCGATCTAGTATCTAGGCTATTTTATTAATGAAAATCACGGGGAAGCGTTGACAACAAGTTTATATGTGTGTGTGCAGCACAATCTGTGATCTCTGACCTCTCTCTCTGTGTGTGTGTGTGTGTGTGTGTGTGTGTGCGCGCGAGTGATGCGTGTTGGTTGGTGTGCATCAATTAAAGCAGCGCATTAATATAGAATGGTGACTAAACTGACTTGGAACTACCTGTGCATTAAACGGTTTTACTGCATACCTCCCAGCCAATCAGAATCCAGTATTCAGACAAACCATGGAATATCTATATATAGTTTTTAAAAAAAAATTTTTTTAGATGTGGCTTAATCTTTTCTGATATTGGCAACATACTTATTAGGTAATCTGGTATTCTGAAAACAAAATAACAAATAAAAAAACAAATGCAAATCTAAAAATCAAAATAACAGAAATATAAAGAAATAACAGATATATACGAAATATTCAGAAAACAAGTCAAGTCACCTTTATTTATCTAGTGCTTTTAACAATACATATTGTGTCAAAGCATAATTTACACATTTTAATTATTAACGCATGATAGTAAAAATGTAAACGAATGTGGAATAAAAACATGATTATATTTATAAATACAAACAATATTCTTTTAAAAAACTTTGCCTTGGTAGTCATGAAATAAAACATTTAAAACTCAAGTAGAAAAATTATTTCAGATAAAATATTTAAAAGTTTAATCTAAAACTTAAATATGTAACTTATTACTTATTACTAATTTTATTATTACATAAAATAATCCTCGGAATTCAATGATATCTGGAAGACATTTTTTTACTTTGTTAGAGACGGAGATATTGATGAAGCACTAGATGTGTGAAGATATGTATTATAACAACAATCAGGATTGTATTTCTATTTTATT